TGGCTTTACCCCCCGCGCCACACGCCGGCCCCCAGAGACACATTTTATAGCAGGGAGAATAAGGGCACACCGTGAGTTGGCGAGAAAGGTCCAGTGAAGCGGCCTCGTGCCGCAGGGAAGGCCTGGAGGACGTCCAGCAGGCGGGGGCCTGGGCTGGGACACGGGGGGGCGGGGCAGCTCTCGCAGGAGAGGCGGGTGGGGGAGGTGTGAGAGGAAGGGGCCCTGGGACGAGGGAGGCTGCACGAGCTCTCTCGTGGCTGCCTCCATGTTCTCAAGGAACCGCATGGGAGTGTGTGCGGGGAACTGGGGGCAGCACCCGCAGCCTCCTCGAGGAGGGTGGCCACAAACAAGGCCACAGTGGACCAGAACGCGTGGGCCTGGCTCAGAGTGCCCAGGGAGTGAGGCGCCTAGCCAGGGGTAAGTGGCTGAGGGAGGTCAGCGGTCCGAGGATTGAGAGCCACACTGGAGAGTGGGCGGGGCTACAGGGCCCGTCATGGGGACTGTGGGGAGGCCCACCTGCCCTTGAGCCAAGGTCATGGCCACATGACCAGGCCACCCACAGGAAAGGAGCGGCCCGGCGAGGAGGAAGCCTGGGGCCTGAGCAGCCCGAAGTCGGCCTCGCTCCGCCCTCCCCGGAAGCCCTGCCACTGCCCACGCAGCCCTGCCCTCCCTGAGCCTCAAATCGGAAGAATCGAGAACTGTGCATCTCCTGCCCCCACCGACTCTCCTCTCCTCCCTCCTGCTCTCCCCAGGGGGCGGGGACCCAGGGCACGGCAGGCTCGCAGCACACGCTCCACAGCGGAGGGCATTCCCACTCAGGACTCGACTTCGGCCAGGTCAGCAAGCCACGCTGTCAATGTGGAGGTGGAGAGGGCCCCCCAGAGTGACCGCTGCCTGCCAGTGGGGCTGCTCAAGTATGCTGGGAGCAGCCCCGTGGGAACCGTCCCCGAGTCAGGGAGATCGGATCATTCCATCCCTTGTGGGGAGCAACTCGGACTAGACTAAGTTACTGGAATTAAGACTTATTCTATGCATCTGCTCTCCCACAATATGGCGCTGGGAGAGGAGTAAACAACTTCTACACAGCTGCCTCCAGTTCAGCCAGTAACCTGCAGGAGCTGATCCTGACTGGAGGAGAGCAGCGTACTTGGCGTGTGGGTAGCAGAGTTGGGATTGGTGGAAGAGGACTATAAAGGAGGAGAGAGACAACATGCACCAGGAACATCTAAAGGGAACATCCGGATAACATCTGAGCAGCCCCCGAGAGAGCCGGCCGGCGGTGTGCCGCTCCCCCCGCGGAAGTGGGGAAAGTGGCAGGGGGAGCCGCCCTTCCACGGAGGTGGAAGGGACGGTAGCCAACCCGGGAAGGACCAGCAGCAAACCCGGGAAGGGCCGAGCAGACAAAAGAACAGCGCAGGGTCCTGTGTCGTTCCTCCATGAAGAGGGGGAGCGACATAATGGTGCCGTGACTCGGATACGAAGCCTAGGAGGGAAGAAACGGAAGAAGTAGGAAAATACCGGAGAGAGAGACTAGGGAAGAGCCTAGGGAAAAGCCGGACGGAAAAAGTGCCGGAAGAAGTTAGGAGTGAAAGCTGGAAGAAACTAGACTCGGATACGGACTATGGCGGGGAAGCTAGGAGAAATCTATGGTTGAAAGCGAAAGTGAAAGCTAGAAGAAACTTAGACTCGGATACAGACTGTGGGGAGAAGCCAGGAGAAATGAGAGGGGAATACTGTTGGAAGAAAAGTTAGGAAACATACCGGGTAGAGAAAAATATGTTAGGGAGGATGAAGCCGCGGGGGCAGGCCGAAGTGGAGACGTAAGCTAGGTTGGGATTCGTCAAGTCAGCCCGGGGAACAAAAGGCGAAAAACTAAAACCAGAAGCGGAGACGCAAGCTAGGTTGGAATCCGTCAGATTAGCCCGGGGAGCAAAAGACGGGAAGCCAAACCGAAAAGCGGAGACATAAGCTAGGTTGGATTTCGCCAGGTTAGCCTGGGGAACTTAGACTGAAAACTAAACCAACCAATGGCAGGAAACGTGAGCTAGGCTGTGATTCGCGGAAGCCGCTGAGCGCACAGAAAGCGCACGGGGCACAAGCGGAGAGAGCGCACGGGGCTGCGAGTAGATAGGAAGTGTGGGGCTGGCGCGGAGGCAGTGGTGCGGGTGCGAAGGGCGCGGAGACCGCGGAGCGCACGAAGCCGGGAAGCCGCGCAGATGAGAGAAGCGTGGGCTGAAGCCACGCACAGCCGGGAAGCCGCCGCGGGGCGAGGCGCCGAGAAGCCGCGGGGATAAGAGAAACAGAAATTTAGAAGTAAAATGAGAGAAATAGGAATGCTGGCAGATAGAAGTAAAATAAGAGAAATAGGAATGCCCGGAGATAGAGAAATAGAGAAAAATAAGGCCTCCCCACAACACGGCAATGAGAGGGCTCGGATTCGGTCTGCCTGATTAGTAAGATGATAAGCACCTGCGGGCGGCTAGCAGAATATCCGCTGCAGGTCACCGAAGACAGGCACGTTATCAAAACCAATAAGTCTCCCCACAAGATGGCAATGAGAGGGCTTGGATTCGGTCTGCCTGATTAAGGCGATAAGCACTTGCAGGCAGCTCGAGCAGAGCATGCGCTGCAGGGCACCGAACACAGGCATGCATCAGCGCCTAAAAACCTCCTCTCAACATGGCGAAGAGAGGACCCGGATTTGGTTTGCCTGATTGGTAGGGCTTGTAAGCACCTGTGGGCAACTCCAGCAAGCAGAGCAGAGTGTGTGCCGTGGGGCACCGAAGACAGGCGCGTATCAACGCCAAAAAATAAAAAGAAAGGGGGAATTGTGGGGAGCAACTCGGACTAGACTAAGTTACTGGAATTAAGACTTATTCTAGGCCGGCGCCGCGGCTCACTAGGCTAATCCTCCGCCTAGCGGCGCCGGCACACCGGGTTCTAGTCCCGGTCGGGGCGCCGGATTCTGTCCCGGTTGCCCCTCTTCCAGGCCAGCCCTCTGCTGTGGCCCGGGAGTGCAGTGGAGGATGGCCCAGGTGCTTGGGCCCTGCACCCCATGGGAGACCAGGAAAAGCACCTGGCTCCTGGCTCCTGCCATCGGATCGGTGCGGTGCGCTGGCCGCAGCGCGCCGGCCGCGGCGGCCATTGGAGGGTGAACCAACGGCAAAGGAAGACCTTTCTCTCTGTCTCTCTCTCACTGTCCACTCTGCCTGTCAGAAAAATTAAAAAAAAAAAAAAAAAAAAAAAAAAAAAAAAAAAAAAAAAAAGACTTATTCTAGGCCGGCACCGCGGCTCACGAGGCTAATCCTCCGCCTAGCGGTGCCGGCACACCGGGTTCTAGTCCCAGTAGGGGCGCCGGATTCTGTCCTGGTTGCCCCTCTTCCAGGCCAGCTCTCTGCTGTGGCCAGGGAGTGCAGTGGAGGATGGCCCAAGTGCTTGGGCCCTGCACCCCATGGGAGACCAGGAAAAGCACCTGGCTCCTGGCTCCTGCCATCGGATCAGCGCGGTGCACCGGCCGCAGCGCGCCGGCTGCGGCGGCCATTGGAGGGTGAACCAACGGCAAAGGAAGACCTTTCTCTCTGTCTCTCTCTCTCTCACTGTCCACTCTGCCTGTCCAAAAAAAAAAAAAAAAAAAAAAAGACTTATTCTATGCATCTGCTCTCCCACAATATGGCGCTGGGAGAGGAGTAAACAACTTCTACACAGCTGCCTCCAGTTCAACCAATAACCTGCAGGAGCTGATCCTGCTCCTGATTGGAGGAGAGCAGCGTACTCGGTGTGTGGGTAGCAGAGTTGGGATTGGTGGAAGAGGACTATAAAGGAGGAGAGAGACAACATGCACCAGGAACATCTAAGGGGAACATCTATCTGAAGGAATACCTGTGCAGCCCCCGAGAGAGCCGGCCGGCGGTGTGCCGCTCCCCCGCGGAAGTGGGGAAAGTGGCAGGGGGAACCGCCCTTCCACGGAGGTGGAAGGATCGGCAGCCAACCCGGGAAGAACCAGCAGCAAACCCGGGAAGGGCCGAGCAGACAAAAGAACAGCGCAGGGTCCTGTGTCGTTCCTCCACGAATGGGGGAGCAACAATCCCTGCTCGCTCAATCAGTTTCTGTCTCGCGGATGGTCACGTGTCGTCCATTTCACACAGAGAGACGGACGCAGGGCCAGGTGGTGCGGGACTGGCAATGCGGGCATCCCACACCGGAGCCCCAGCTCTGGTGCTAGCTGCTCCGCTTCTGCTCCCGCTCCCTGCTAATGCACGGGGAACAGGCGATTATGGCCCACGTGCCTGGGCCTGGCGCCACGTGGGAGACCTGGCTCCTGGCTTCAGCCTGGCCCAGCTTAGGCGGCTGTGGCCATTTGGGCAGTGAGGCAGTGGATGAAAGACCTCTTTCTCTCTGTCTCTCCCCCTTCTCTGTTAAATACACAGATAAATAAATAAATCTTTTTTTTAAAAGAATGTTCAGTTATAAAAAAATCTTTTAAAAAGACAGAAAACCCCGACCTTTGCACCTGAACTGCCCCAGCCGTGCTGAGAGGCTGGTCAGACTCCCTGCGCCGGGCGGGGCTGGCGGGCAGGGCTGGCGGGCGGGGGGCACCAGCCCCTGAGTGCTCAGCACCTGCGTGACCTGCCTGGGCACCCCGGATCCGCCTCCCACACTGCATGCCGTAGGCCCCCGTGGTGGAGGAGCCGCCTCCCACGCTGCACGCCGTCGGCCCCCGTGGTTGAGAAGCAGGCCTCTGCTGTGTGGTCAGCCCAAGCGCTAGACGGGCAGGGGATCGGGCAGCACGGACACACACAGCAGGGTCAGAGAATCGCACAGCCCCGCCTCTTCTCTCATCTGCTGTCCCTGAGCTGGGCTGTGAGACACTGGCCACCTGCGACAGCTCTGTGGCTCTGAGGGGACAGCCGTCCACGGCTGCGTGGTCCACGGCACACCCACTCTCCCCGTGACAGCTCTGCTTCCCCAGAGAAAGCCCAATGCCCCAAGCTTCCCTGCCGCGTCGGGATCCTCCTCCCGGCACCTCCAGAGTGTCCGCAGAAACGAAGACAAATGACCTTGGGCAGGCCGAGACCCACGCGGCGAACAGACTCGACACCTCCGGCAGAGGACGCCCGAGTCGGTGAACACGAATTTCGTGGGGTTAACTGAACGCTGTCACTTCCCACACCTATCTGACAGCGACTTATATTCTGGATCTTTCTGTGATTCTGATGATGAGGTTTTAAGATGAAGCCAGGCAGAGAACCGGCAAACTACTGAAACAAAGACTGGATTTAGTGAAGCTGCTACAGAGAATAACTTACAAAAACACAGAAAGAAAACAGGAAACAGGATCTCAAGACACCACCTACAGCCGAGGTGACGGCGACTTCCCCTGGGCCAAGCTACTCCCCACCCCAGTCTCAGCCAGGTCCTGGCAGGTCCTCTGTGGACACGAACACACGACAAATCCACCGGGAACGCAAAGGGCCAAGGGGACCTGGGCGACGTTGGGAAAGAACAAAGCTGGAGACGCGGACGCCTGCCTGCGACACGTGGGATGAAGACTGGGGCACTGGGCGGGGCGCAATGGGACCAGGAAAGAGCCCACCCGTGGACGGCGCTGGTTCCACGCGGACAGCCCCGGGCAGGCTGGGGGTGCCTGGAGGCAGTGTCGCTGTGCCTGCCCGGGGGCACACGACCAAACCTTCATCTCAGGGGAAGCAGATTTCCAACCGCGGGAGGCCGGGAGCCCTGGCCGGGAAAGACAAAAACTGGATTTTGTTAAACTAAGGAATTTTTGTTCACCAAGAAGAAAACACCAGGAAAGTGAGCTTGAGGCTCTCGGAGTGAAGAAAGTCACTCAGCATCCACACCCAGGGCTCTGCACAGCTGGGCGGACAGACGCCTGCAGAGCAGGGAGCAGCAGCCGAGACACCCGACGGTGTCCCAAAGAAGACACGTGTGTGGCCTGCAGAACAGGAAGTGACACTCTGCCAACCATCAGGGAACACCGCAGACGTCTCCAGGAAACGCCCCCCCACACTGCTCCACCACAGCCACGCAGCTCACAGTCTGTGGAGGGTGGGACATGTGTGTGTGCATGCGTGTGTGTGCGTGTGTGTGTGTATGTGAACGCCTCCCCATGCCGCTCCACCACAGCCACGCAGCTCACAGTCTGTGGAGGGTGGGACATGTGTGTGTGCATGCGTGTGTGTGTGCATGCGTGTGTGTGTATGTGAACGCCTCTCCACGCCACTCCACAGCAGCTACGTCACTGAACAGCAACACAGCTCACACAGTCTGTGGAGGGTGGGGCATGCGCACGCGTGTGTGTGCATGTGTGCATGTGAGTGTGCGCATGCGTGTGCGTGTGCGCATGTGTGTGTGGTGCGCACCCTACAGCCCCGAGCTTCACGCCTATGGGTGCTCCAGCAGAAGCGTGCACCTGCGTTCTCCAGGCCTCCCGTGAGACTCGGCAGTGAGACAGGAGGGAGGCGTTTGCTGGCACGAGGGTGGGGGCTGGGAGCAGAAATCCGAGGCAGGGAAGGTAAATACTCCTCCAAGGCGTGCACAGAAGGAGGAAAACCGAGGCGAAACCCACCGCGAACAAGACGCCAACCTCTCCGACAGGAGCCCTGAGACCGAGCGCTCCATCTGCCTGGGCCTGGCCCGGCCACACTCTCCGCGACGGCTGCACCCCGGAAACGGAGCGCTGCTGCCCACAGCCCCGACCAGTGAATTCCGGCGCCCTCAGACGAGGGCAGCCTGCCTGGTGGACGAGCCCGCTCCAGCGCCGGCCGGCACCGCGTGCAGAAGCAGGGCAGCGGCAGCACCAGAGCGAGCGAGCAGGGCTCCGGGCTGCTCAGTTCCTGCTGCTCCACTCGGCTGCTGGCTGAGTGCGTGCGCTCAGAACCCTGGCCCGGCTGTGGGCTCCCGCTTCATGCAGGCTTGGTACATGGTTTCAAAGTAAAAAAACGAAAGGCAGCCTGCGCCTGTCAGTTGTTCCTCCCGCACCACCCTGCCCCGCGCTGAGCCCCGGTTTGGTGAGGTTATTCCCAAACACTGGCCCTAGCAGAACAGAAATGGACGGCACGCTCCGGAGAGGCCGCTGGCCCTGGAACAGGCTTTCCGACGACAGAAACCGCAGGACCTGACACGGCAGCAGACAGCCCCCCTCTAGGAAGGGCACCACCAAACCAGGCCCGGAGCAGCGGCCTGGCTCTGCCCTTCCAAGGGGAGGGTGGGCCTGCAAGCTGCACTCTGGCTGAGCGGAGGTGGGCACCCACGGGCAGGGCCAGCACCCTGTGTGGCCACACCCTGTCCTCCACAGACGCCCAAGACGATGAGAGAAGCCTGTCCTCACGACGCCCCTCCCCCAGGGTGAGGACATTGGAGCACAGGGACGTCCCTAGCTCGACCAGGGCGGCCACAGCCCCGCAGGCAGTCTCTTGGGTGGGGCTGGCAGTGAGTGTGTGGGGGAGAGGCCCTGGGGTCCAGCCCCGCCTCTTAGGTATCTCAGCCTCAGTGGACAGCTTGGAGCCGCCCCCCGCTACAGTGCCTCTGCCTCTCAGCCTCTGTCCAGGCTGCCCGCCTCCTCCTGGCCGGCCCTCGGTGCCCGTCACACCCTCTGCTGATGTCCAGCGTGTGCCTTCTCCTTCCTGTGGGTTCCTGGGGACACTGGGCTACACGTGCCCAACAAATGAAAGAACCTGGGGGAGGGGCGAGGGCTCTGGGTGAGCCGCTGCAGGTACCACGAGGAAGACGAGACCCAGGCCCTGCGGTCACTGCACTGCTCTGCCCACACGAGGCCAGGACTGGAACTCCCCTGTGGGGCCCCGTTCACACCCCAGAGGCTGCCAGGGGCGTCCACGGCCCCGCGGGAAACTCACTCACGGCTAAACGCAGACGACCGCAGAGCAGGCAGGCTGCACTGAGGAGACATCTCGAAGCCCGGCTTCAAGGCCCAGCTGGCCCATCTTTGCAGCTCTGCTTGGCTTCATTTCACCAGGGACACAGACAAAATCTCTGACAGCCCAGCCCCAGGGTGCCCCCAGACTGGGAGCTGTGCCCCCGGGGCCCAGAGCGGCAGGCCCGCGCGGCGCCCAGGACTCACCCTGAACGCAGTGCCTTCCTCAATGATGGTCGGCAGCTGAGACAGACAGATGTCCACGGCCAGGTCCCAGGCTTGCCTGCGGAGAGAGCAGAGGGGGCCCCGGGCATCAGTGGGTGGTGACCACAGGGAAAGGAGGGAGGCCTGTGCCCCGAGCCAGGTCTGGGGGACTGGTGGCCTGCTGTGGGGCACAGGAGCGGCTGCGCACAGGCGCCCCAAGCTGGCCCGGGTGTGGACCACGCTGTCGGCACCCCGTGCTCTGCCCACTCTGGACGTCACGTTTCTGCTCTCTGAACCAAGAGAGCAGAGAGCTTAGGAAAAGCACCCACTCTCCCTTGCAGCACCCCTGTCTCCGACAGCCGCAGTCCCCGCGGTGGCTCTCACGGGGGCGCCCTCGTCACAGAGAAGCAGGAGGGAACACTTGGGCCGGGCAGTGCGAGGCTGGGAAGGAGGCCTGGCTGTGGACCCCTACCCGGAGCCCAGGCCCCGGTGCCCCAGAAGGCCAAGGGTAAGCTGATGGCTCCCACAGCCCACCTGGGGCTGAGTGACCTCCCGAGGAGGAGACAGGGTGTTTGTTCGAGGGAGAGGTGACCGTCCCTTGGGAAAGCAGAGAGTCTGCAAGCCAGGGCAGGGGCCTCTCGACAGCGCGCCCCGCAACCCCACTGCCTGGCGGACGCCCACGCCTGTTCCAGCTCCGAGCCAGCCCTTCGGGTCCTGTCCTGAAACGATTCGGCGGCTCAGGCACGAAAGCCCATCGCAGAGTGATTTATGCAGCCTCATAAACACATCTTACGTAACGGGGCCGGGGCCGCGGGGCGTCGCAGCGCCTGTCCCCTCTGGAGAACACAGGGCTTGGCTTTGAAGCCAGGCAGGTCAAAGGTCAAAGAGGGATTCTTTGTGCCACATTTCCCTGAATGTATGCCTGTAGGCATGTTTGTTTGTTTGTTTTTCATGAACTTTCAATCCTGAATTCCTTTCAGACAGAGCAGCTACAGGGCAGCACCGGGCTCCCGGCGGGGTGCTGGGAGAGAGATCCGTACCTCATGGAGCCGCACGGGGCCTGGCCAGGGCTCGGTGAGCACCCGGTCTCTGGCGGGTTGCCGTCTACCTCACCAGCGACCAGTGGCAGCTTCACAAGTCTGGCGGGGGTGGGTGGGGGACGGGCAGACCGGACACCTCTTCCTGCTGGTCAGCGCTAGGCCCTCCCCCAGCTGCAGGTACACGCCTGCCTCACCAGCACTGCTCAGGGGAGGGACAGAGAGTGCCCCTAGAGGCACACAGCAGCGCGTGGTGCTGGTGAGGCCCGACGCCCAGGCCCGACCTGTGCACTGGACCCTGCCACCCCCGGCTTGGGTTGCCCTGGGTGCTTCCCCACCCAGCACTGGGGTGTCCTGTCCCCCAGTGGACAGGAGGCGCCTCCCCTGTGATCTGACTCAGATCATCACCTGGGCGCCACCGGCCCAGTGCCCTCCTCCACTTTTCTGATGAGCCACAGCCACAGCCACAGCCGGCTGGCTGGTCACACCCTTTCTCCCGGAAAACAGGTTAAAGTCACAGTCACACTGCCTGCCGCCTGCCAGGGGGAGCCTTCCCACTGCCCCTCCTCCCGGGCCACCGCTCTGCCTGCCTCTCCTACGCCTGCGCGGTGCCCAGGCCCCACCTCTCCAGGCCAGATTCTCACACACCCTGTGGTGCCGGGTGTCCCAACCACTTGCCCTGAGGCCCAGCACACAGTAGGACTTCAACAACTACTTGCCGAACTAGAGTGCAAGACAGAATGAAAGCAACGTCTCTGCCCAGAGCGGCCCAGTGGGTGACAAGGAGAGGGGCAGGGGACGTGCAGCCCTGACCACAGGCACGGGCTGGCTCCACGCCCTCCTCTGCGCCAAACCCCCTCCCAGCCTGCTCCTTCCTGCAGGTCGAGGCCCAGGGAGGGGGCTGCCGCCTGCTCACAACACAGCACAGCCCGGTTTCTGGGGCCTTGGCACTCATGGTCAACTCCCTGGGGTCAGTTTCACCATCTGTGAGCTGAGTACTGATGGCCTTTCCCTCGTGGGGTCCTTGTGAGGCTGAGAGGTCACACTGTGTGTGACACGGTGGAGCCACTGGCAGACAGGGCCGGAGACAGTGCCGTTCTGCAGCAGTGGCCGGCACGAGCCCTCGGCTGGAGGCAGACTGCCTGCTCTCTGTGTGGCCGGAGGGCGCTGCTCCCCACGGACAGAACGGCTCCTCCCGCCCTTCTCTCCTTTGCTCCTAGAAATGTGTGCCTTGCGGAAACAGTGGTGACCAGTGCAACGGTGTCGTGTCCAGTGCAGCAGCTCCTCTCCCTGAGCGGTTTCCTGGGGAGGACCCCAGGCCATGCAGCCTACCGGGAGCGCGTGCTGGGCGTGAGAGCCCCCTTTCCCAGTGGCTCAATAAAGGACCCGACAGGAATGAGCACTTGAAGAGAAGTGAAGCTGCAAGTAGCAAAAGGACCGCGGAAACCTGCAGCGGCACAGCCCTGGGACGGCTCCCGCCCGCCCGCCCGCCCAGCGTCTGCAGGCAGCAGGCGGGCTGCAAAGTGGGGGCGGCGGACGGCTCCCGCGTGCTCCCTAACCCCGGCGGCAGGCACACGCAGGGCGCTGAGGGGCGTGTTCAGGCGGCTAAGACAGAAGCAAAGTCAGTTACTGCAATTGCACTCCACAGACGCCTGCAACGTAAGCAAATGGAAAGTCCCCTTCCAGGAGACAGAAGGAAGTGTTTATGAGTGTGTGTGTGTGGGGGGAGGGCAGGCAGAGCGTGTCCTGGCCCCTGCCCCACGTGGTCTCGCCACGGCTGCGTGGGGCGTCCCAGGAACGTGGTAAGTTGCAGCCCAGTAGCAAGGTCCCCAGATTTTGTGAGGTTCCAGGCGGCCTGGAGCAAGAGGCTTCATAGCACCTGTGGCTGGTCCCCAGATTTTCTGAGGTTCCAGGCGGCCTGGAGCAAGAGGCTTCATAGCACCTGTGGCTGGGGCCGAGCAGAGGTCGCACCAGCTCAGCCCTCTCCGAAAGGGCCTCGGCGTGAAGCCGTCACGGACGGATGGCATGTTCCCGCTGCAGAGAGACAAAGCCACAGGGGCCGTGCCTCAGGTCGCTGGGGCGTGCCATGGAAGGACGGGGCTGTGTAAACGTGGGAGGGACAGAACGCGTCCAAGGTACCGCGGAGGAGGGCACCCAGGCAGCCATGACGGATACACGACCAGGCACTCCCCAGGGAGCGGCTCCGCTGCACCCGACAGCTGCACTCGGCACAGAAGACGGAGGGCCGAGCTGCGCCCACCGGTGAAGCGCGGGCGGACACGCCAGCTCCCCTCTCCGGGCCTCCGGCTGCTTAGTTTGTACCAGAGGAAAGGGTGGATTAGAGGAGCCTCAGGGAACCAGTAAACAACGCGGCGCGCCCACACTCTCAAAGGCCGACAGCGGCACCTCTGGTGGGCACAACACCGGCTGATCGAAGCTGGCTGCGTGTTCCAGGATAAAAATCGAGATGGACCTGCAGTCTTAATTTGGGATGAGTGGGGAAGTAGGTCCTATAAAAGCACGAGACCACGCGGCCCGCCGCGCAGCAGCCGGCTCTCACGGTTGGCGCTGGCAGAAGTCGGAGGGAGCTGGGGAGGTGTCTGGCTTAGCACTTCCCACAGCCCTGGTGAGCAGGCAGGGAGAGGCAGGGCGGGAGGAGCCGTGAGCAGCTGATCACAGCTCGGAGCAAGGGGCCTCTGAGGGACGTCTGAGCTCCTGGCCGCTCCCTGGCTCCCCGGGCAGCAGCCACCAGGCGGGCACTGGGTTTCCAGGGAGCCTGGCGAGAGCCGGCTTGCAATGCCGAAGCCCAGGGTGCCTGGCAAGGCAGCGCAGCCCCCTCCGCGCTGATCCATCAGGGAGCAGAAAGCGCAGGCTCTCACCGCAGACAAATGCAGGGTTTCAGGACCCTGAAATGGAAAGTGAAGGAGAACGGCTCCCCGATGGCTTTGCATCAGAAATTAAACAGAAGCCGCCCGGTGCACTCCATCCCCAGCCCCTCCCCCGCCGCAGCCCCGTGGAAACGCGTTTCCTCAGCTTTAACCTCAGCCTGTGTCAGGCTCGGTTCCCTTTTCGCTGCTAAAAATGCGACCTCTCCATCACCACCCAGGATCCGATAACGAGATTTTAAATGATTTACTCCGAGTGCTCTCTCCCGACTGCCTGCCTGCGAGCTCCCCGGGGGCACACACGTCTGTTTCTGAGGTGGGAGCGCTGACGGTTGTGGGAAGGGTCTGTCACCCAGAGCAGCAGGCAGCCCGGCTGGGCGCCCACACCTCGGCTGCCGTGGGCGCCTCTGGAGACAGAGGAGCACGACTCACGTCTGCCTCCAAGACGCCTCCGGCTCCCTCCCGACTTCAGGACAGGAAGTGGGGCTGGGACCAGCCACGCAGGACGGGGCCACACTCTGTCTCCCTGGACAAGGGCAGGCCAACTATCGCCGAAGGGTCTCAGCTGCTGGTGCCCACTCCTCACGGGCTCCCGACCCTCTGGAAGGTGGCCCCAGGGACTGAGGAGGAGGCTGCCACAGGGGACAGTGCCTGGGGTGGGCAGCCTGCGAGGGTCACACTGAGGGGAGACGGGAGAAGCCATGGTTCCCACAGTAACCAAGTCAGGTGACGCCCTGCAGGTCCGCAGGGCGAGCAATTACATCTAGCAGTCTCTCCCTTCTCTTAGAATAAAAACACGCAATCTTGTAACAAAATCAAGGTTGTTACCAAGTCCGAAGGGCTTTCTCCTCCCCAGATCTGCAGTGCCGACATTAAGGTGGGCTGAGCCCTGTGACCCGCAGGGAAACGCTGCAGGCCCGCTGGAAGGGACTTGGGCACAGGCTGCACACGTAGGCGCTGGCACGCCTTCGGCCCTGGACAGAGCGCGCGTCGCTTGTTCTGTGGCGTCCATGTCATCGTGAGCTCAACAGCTGCTCAGCATTCACAGACTCGGGCTGTCCTGCCGTCCACATTCCCGCACTCACTCGCGTAGAATTTGTCTGAACGTGAGCGTCCCTAGGACAGTGTGGGTTAGACTCTAATGACGGACTTCACAG